TTTTAAATATTTGCTGAATTAAAAATTAAAATAGTCACAATGAATCATGCAGTCAAGGAGAGATTGTGTTCATTATTGTGAATGCATCGAAGAAAAGGAAAAAGGGATTGTCTCAATGATTTTACTTAAGACAAATAGTACAAAAGTAGCAAACACATTGCTTTAAACTTTCAATAATCTGTATAAAGGGCATGTATAGCTCTGGGGTAAAGAAGTTCTCAGATAACATTATCCTAAAATATACACTGAAAAATTCAAAGATAATTCCTTGGATTTAATCAATTTTTTTTACGTTAAGTGGTTGTAAACAATTTAATTGTGTTGAATTTAAACAAACAAATTAAGTTGAACATTATTCAATTTAATTTGTTTGTTTAAATTCAACACAAATAAATTGTTTGCAACAGTTCTGCATGCAACCATTTATTCAGTGTAATTTTTTATGTGTTTTTAACGGTAGATGATTCTTATAAAGTACGTTGTTAATTGCTCCTCTATTAAAAAAAAAGAAAGAAAGAAAGAAAGTTCTGAAAGAGATCAAGCCTCAGCCAGGTAATAAAAAGTAATGCAAAAGTAACACAAAAGAAATGTAACTCATTACTTACTATGAAAAGTAACTAAGTAGCATAACTAGTTACTTAGTAACTCAGTTACACAATACTTTACTACATTACTTTCAAAAAAAACTTTCCCCAACACCATAGTTCATTTCTGGGTAACACTTTACAACAATTGTAAATAACGATTAAAACAAATGAAATTAAGACATGCACTAATCAACAACTAGTTTTAACTACAACATGAATCACACACGATAATGTGTCAATAAAGGCTACCTAAATTACTTGTTAGTATTCTACTGTAATGAGTGAAACAGGTGAAAGGTCGTAGCAGGAGACAAAACAAACATAGACATAAAACAAACAAGGGTCAAAATATGGCTAGCCAATCCAGGAAATGCTTTAAAATGCTCACTACATGGACACTTGATAAGTACAGACAACACTGACAAATTTAGATTAACCATTTGAACAATTTCCTGCAGCTAAAGTGTAAAAAAGTTGCAAGTTTCTAAAAGAGAGGATATGAGAGGTGTGAACTCATCAGAATCACTGGTTTCGATCAATGAAAAAAGTATGACTGATCATTGACACCAGGTCAAAATCTGACCTGACCTAAATCTGACTTTTGATTTATTTTGTCATCTAGATTGTACTTCAGTTTTTTGTACACGTACACGTAGTCTTAGTTTTTGTAAAGATATACTCATACTCGATTAAGGTAACTCAACAAATTTAAATGGAGTGAATGTAAAAGCAATAAAGTTGTCCAAAAAAATTCTTAAGAATTGTGTTGTTTTAGCTAATTTTAAATACATAATTTAAATATATATATATATATATATATATATATATATATATATATATATATATATATATATATATATATATATATATATATATATATATATATATATATATATATATATATATATATATATATATCGGCTATGTCAAAACCATATTTTATAGTTATTTTGCAAGATATTAATATTCAGATTAAAGTGTCATAGGCTTAATTACACTATAAAAGCCAAAAAGTTTAGGTAACTTAAACCATTTTGTAAGGAAACCATTTGAGGAAACTGATTGAAAAAAAAAAACATTTAAATAAACTAAAAAAAAATTTTTTTTCAATTAAAATACTTATTTAAAATGATCTGAAACAGCACAATTCTTAAGATTTCATTGGGACAACTTAATTTTTTTTATGTTCAATTCACATGAAATTGTTAAAAATGTTAAGTTAATTTAATCAATTTGTGTTGGGACAACATTTTTTACAGTATACTGTAAACTTAATCTATTTAAGTAAACAAAGGTTTTTAAGCACAGTAAAACCCAATAAATGAAGAGAACTCAAACAAACAGAGTACTGCAAAACCCAATAAAGGCAACTCAAACCGTTTGAGGAAGAGGATTGCCACAAATCATTTGAGTTTAAAAAAAAAACTTATCTATATGAGTTCAGTAAACTTAATACATTTAAGTTAAAGTAATGAGGAATTTAATGACAAAACTCTTGTCTGTTTAAAACTCTTTTCAAATGAGTAGAATTAACTTTCAGTACATTTTGAGTTAATGACACTCATTTCATTTAATGAAGTTGACTGTTTTTGTTGTTGTTTTTTTGGTTCTGTAGTCAATCGAAAAATATATTTATTTTAATATGGATATGGATAATATTTTATTAATTATATTTATATTTTTTATTATGAAATTAATTGTTAAGCTTCTACAGCACCCTTATATACACTGTCAGGTTGTGCTGTATAAAATAAGGTAACTATATGGGCTAAGGTTATTAACATGAAACTGGACTGTCAAGTAAAGTTCAATACCAGTAAGTCACTCATTATAAATTGATATGCCTTAAATTATTCAAGTTTAGTTACAGTGCATATTTATTGACAGATTTTTTTTCTTGCATGAATTTTTATTATTTTTTTTCTCAAAATTATTCTAATTTTCTAGAGTGTATCTTGCCTGAAATGGTGAGCAGGAACATCCAGCGCAGTGCAGTTAACCGGGGAGGAGTAATCATTGTGACCGGCCGCTGTGGTGTTCAGGCGACACTGCCTTGCGCTGGCCAGCACCAGGGTGAAGCAGAGGAGGGCATGTGAATGAGCGGCTGTGTTCTCCAGCTCTGTGACATCTCCAAGAAGGACAAGGCCTCCGATCCATCTGCAGTCCCTTCTGGAGGAGGAGTCTGGTGGTCAAGAATAACGCTATTGTGTGCTGGACTTTTATCTGCATATCTCAGCTATGTTCGTGTAAACAGGCTCCATGAATGAGCGTGTGGGCATGAAAACAGCACACGCCATGACCATGGTGGTGCGTGTGTTCGCTATTGTTGATAAACAACAAAAAGTTGCACAAAGTTTGTATGCAATTACAGATGATATACTGGCTAATTCTTTATCAGACTCTGCTATTGAACAATGAGTGAGACTATTTAGTTAAAACAGATGAGCAGTTCTGGAATTTAAATAAATTAATGCTTGAATTGTAATATGTAACAATTCTGTGGGTGGCTATAGTTATTTAGTATAGGTTGTTTTAAAAATAAAAAAATATCAATCCAGCTGGCTTGTTATACAGTAATTTATTAAAGTGATGGATGTGAAAAATGTACATTATTAGATTATTAAAAAAGTTTTTATGGTTCTTTTTGATTCATAACGTGTAAAACCCAAAACGTTACGGTAACTCAAACCATTTGAGGAAACCGATTGCAAAAACCATTTGAAGGTAAGTTCAACAACTAATCCTAATGAGTACTGTGAACTTAATCCATTTGAGTAAACAAAGCTATTTGAGCACAATAAAACCTGATAAATGAAGAGAACTCAAACCAATAAGTAGCCTACTATAAAACGCAATAAGTTAAGGCAACTCAAACCATTTGATAATATGCTCTTTAAACTACAGTAATCTATATGAAACTCGGAATTTACTCCATTTAAGTGGAAGTGATGAGGTGTTAGGTTAACTAATTACCTTCAACACTAAGTTCAAAACTCTTTTCAAATGAGTAGAATTAACTTTCAGTAAATTTAGTTAACGTCATTTCAATTTATTTAAATAATAAAACTCATGGCTCGTGTGTTTATACCCAGCAGGCACAGGACCTCAACATGACGTCAGATGGATGCTGTATCCCAACGTCATGGGGACGTTGCATTTTTTGGTGGAAATGAAAATCAGGTTGACGTCAGAACCAAACGTCAGACTGATGACAGCTAGTGTGCAGTGTCAGACAGATGCTGCAGTTTGATTACTTTCCAAAACAACCGAATATCCACAACATGACCTTATGTGGACGTTTCCACTATGACTTCTATCAGACGCTGGATTTTGGCTGCCATACCTGATGACTAAATGTCAGTATTTGATATCAATATGACGTTGTTAAAGTTGGATTTTGGTCCCTTTCCAACACAACATAAAGTCCACCAACATCTGACATCGTTATTGGACATCAAAATAACTGGCTAGACACTGAATATTAACATCTTTAATTAATTCAGATGAATTATTCAGGAAGATTAATTAATTCTAGAGTTTAGGCTTAGAATTATTTTTTTTTACTTTGTATACCACTGGAAACAACATTTTATATGATTTTGACAGAAGTTGTAAAGTTGTAGTTTCAACATTCTTTTTTTTTATTTATTAATGAACGCCGTACACAAAAAACAAACATGATTTGTGAATTGGTTGAACTAGCTGTTCTATTCTGAAAGGTAGTGCAGTGGGTATCGCTATCGCCTCACAGTAAGAAGGTCACTGGTTCAAGCCTCGGCTGGGTCAGTTGGCATTTCTGTGTGGACACTAAAGACTGAAAATTCAGCTTTACATAACAAGAATAAAACGACATTTTAAAATCCAATAAAATAGCAATTCATTAAAATATTGATAGAAATACAAACAGTTCTAGAAATAATATTATAAGCTCCTAACCTTGCTAATGTATGCTAAAGTCTAAAATGAATATGTAACATTTATACATTTATTTTCTAAAGAAATAAGAAAAAAAGTATACAATCCACTCAGTCAAAAATACTGGTCTTTCCTTTTTGTGTACATACATTGTAATAAGCAAGCATTATACCTCTAAAATGCTGCATCATTGTTAATAGTTTTGTTTTTGGTTTGGTATGGAGGAAGGAAGTTTTCTAGGTGTGACCTCTGAGTGAAAGGTGTGAACACATTATGAACAGCTTTATCAGTGGGTATCAATTTAAAGCTAACATTAGCACTTCTAGCGCTTAGATTTGTCGAAAGTATCGACTTTGGTTCCAATCAGTACTATAGTCATTTCCAAGTAAAGGAGAGAACCTGTTTTATGCACTCTTTAAAAAAAATTTTTAGAGTGTAAAGGGTGTAAGAAAAGCACAGCTGTGAATCAACCTGTGGTAATGATTGATTTAAACATTGTTGACTTCAGATTATATTTAATAAAGATATAGTGTTACATTATGTTAGCCACATAACATCAGAGTATAAGGTTAGTCCAAGTTAATCATTTCTCTGATAGATATTTATATTATTACAAACAAAACAGACTCAATTCCACACTGGTCAATAATTGTGAGTTTGCTCAGATATTAATGCCACTGTTCGTATTCGCTTTCAGCCTGTATCTGATAGACATTTTCCACAGCCATCTCTCTGTTGTACAGGCCCACACTGCTGCCAGAATTACTGTAGATGACGGAGATCTCAGAGTTCTGCCTTCTGAAAGAGAAACAGGCATTTAAAAAGTGAATATTTCTTAATAATTAATAATAAAAACAAACACAATATTATTAGCATTAATATTTTGCTTGAGTGTCCTTTCGGTCTTGTTAATCACTTAGCTACTTTGCTTGGTTACTTATTAGGTTCACCTGGGCCTTGTTTAGTTGCTTCTATGTATATTTTCTTTGTTTTGTTAAGTTTTTGCTGAGTCATTAGTTAAAATTACATGGACATATTCTGCTTCAATCAAAATTAAATCATTCTAAATGTCTAAAACAAAAGTTTTAACATCTGTGGAATAAAAGCCATGTTAATAATAATGTGTTCATTAATACCAGCTTGTACTGAGTGTCATATATCATTATGCCAGATATACATTATAGCACATCCACTTAATTTTCCATTTTCAAATGTTCAAGTGTGCATTTCCTATTAAAAATGTTTAAAGTGCTCCTATTATAGGTTTATATTTTTGTTTTTGGGAATCCGCAACAACAGGCTGACATGCATGCAGGGTCAAAAACACTTTCATTATATTATAATATGCATTTATTTTACCTTATTTGCTTAACAACTCTCAAACAAGTCACATAAAAATGATACATTTTTCCAAACCCCTTATATGCATGACACTACTCTGTGGTTATTGGTCAAACAACCCAGTGTGTTGCGATTGGCTTAAAGCATGCAGCGCATGTCGGAAATGGAATTGAAAAGAATTATCATTTTTTGGGTGAACTATCCCTTTGACATTAACATTTTACACAATACAACGTCTTGTTTAATTAATTAAATAAACATATAATTGAAATACAAAAATAATAATAATATTATTTTAATAATAATTTTAGCTTTCAGCTTTTATTCACATTGTATTTAATTAAGATAATTTTACATATAATGTGTTTAATAATTGCACGAATAGTACTTTAGAGATTGACTTACACTTCTAGCGAGGCTCTGGTTTTCTTCTTTTGCTTCCCTGATAACAGAAAAGTTTCATTTCATGAGTAACAAGCACCAAGAGAAAAATTGTTGTGAAATGTGAAACTGAATTAATGCACTTACACATGAAAGCAGCGGCAATGGCTATCAAAGCCAACAGTAACAGGAGAACAGGCACAAGAACTGCAGATACAGTCACCTTTAAGAACATATCAGAGTCAAAATACTGTATAAACTGACCAACGTTTCAAACAGTAAAACAACCAAAGTTTGCTATTAAGTTGAAATACTTACATTATCTTTGCTTTCCGCAGAAGACGATTCATGATACACAACAGAAACAGAAGGTTCTACTGTGAAAAAAAACCCCCAAAAAAAACATATTGTTTCATCAACAGCAACTTTGAATAAGCTGAAACAAAAGCTAAACTCTGTATTTTTGTGGTCAGTACCTAATTTACCCCAAAATAAGAAGAAACTCTTGCGTAGTAGCTATTAATATAATATATTAATAATATATTAATAATGTATATTAATAATATACTAGTACTAGCAAAACAATTTGGAAGAAGGGTGCGCTTACACAAATCTCCAACAAAAGCATTGTGCTTCTCTAAGCAACATTTGGTTTCTGAATGAATCTGATATGCAGATGATTCAGTCCATTCATAACAGTCAGTCAATTTGTGTATGAGTAAATCTGCCTTGTTGAATGAACCAAATGGTTCAGAGATTCACTTAAGCCAGATGCTTACTGGAAGTTTTAGTTAAGTTAGTTGTATAAAATATTCCTCCGATATTTTCAAATATAATTATTTTACTAAAATTAAATCATTTAAAGAGTTAGCTCACAATGATGTCATGATTTTCTTACACTCAATTTGTTCCAAGCATGTTTGTTTTGTTGAACAGAAAAGGAAGATATATACACTGAAGAATGTTAGGTGGGACATTGACTTCCAAATTATTTCTTGTTCCTACAATGGATGTTCTATATAATATCTAATTTTGTGTTCAACGGAAGAAAAACATCATGAAAGTTTAGAACCACTTGAGTGTGAGTAAATTGTGAGGTCATTTTCATTTTTGGGTGATTTATCCCAAAAGTTAAAATATTACTCATATTTGTTTAATAAGGCTTTATGCCAACGATGATCTGCATTAAACAGTTTGTGTGCCTTCTCTCAAATAACTTCAGATGCAACTATTTGGCTTGTAGTGCAACAACGAAATTTGATACTGATATCATTTGATTTGTGACAACACTAATGTATTATAATTATTATTTTAAAAATGTTAAATGAAATACAGTGCATCAGGAAAGTATTTATAGCGCTTAAATTTTTCCACTTTTTTTAATGCTACACCCTTATTCCAAAATGAATTCAATTCATTTGTATCCGCAAAATTCTATTCACAATACCCCATAATGACAATGTGAAAAAAAAAATTTTTTTTTAATTGTTTGAATTGTTTTAAAAAAAAAAAAAAAAAAAAAAACCTGCTTCAGAGTGCTCTTGACCTCAGACTGGGGTGACAGTTCATCTTTCAGCAGGACAATGACCCAAAGCACACCTTCAAAAAAATCAATGTGGCTTCACAACAACTCTGTGAATGTCCTTGAGTGGCCCTGCCAGAGCCCAGACCTAAATCTTATTGAACATCTCTGGAGAGATCTGAAAATGTACACCATTGCCTCCCATCTAACCTGATAGAGCTTAAGAGGCACTGCAAAGAGGAATGGGCAAAAATTTCCAAAGACAGGTGTGCCAAGCTTGGGGCATCATATTCAAAAAGACTTGAGGCTGTAATTGCTGCCAATAGGTGAATCAACAAAGTATTGAGCAAAGGCTGTGAATACTTATATACATGTGGTTTTTCAGTTTTTATTTATTTCTTTATTTTTAACAAATTTGCAACAATTTCAAAATAATCTTTTTCACATTGTGGTGTATTGTGTGTAGAGGTTTGAGGAAGTAAATTAATTTAATCCATTTTGGAATAAGGATGAAACAAAATAAAAATGTGGAAAAACTGAAGCGGTATGAATACTTTCCAGATGCACTGTAATAAGATAAAAGATTCTGAAAATAAAGGTAAGAAAAATCACTCAAGACTAAACTCAAACGGTGACAGTTCTCATTAACGTCCATATTAGTAGACGTGACAATATTCAGTAGTGCAATATATTGTGACAATAAACATGCATCATACCGTTATTGTGGTTACTTCAAAATACTGTGAATAATTATTTAATATTTAATTCGTTTTTAAAGATATTCAGATTGTTGTATTGACAATGGTGTTATCACAGCATCAAATGCTAAAAAGAATTAATGGGCTATTTATAAAAAAATATCTGTCAGCTAGCTTGCTGCAATTCTAACATGGTCCTAACATGGCCCACTGAAGCTAAGCGGGGTCATGCCTGCTCAGTACCTGGATGGAAGACCACATGGGAAAGCTAGGTTGCTGCCAGAAGTGGTGCTAGTGAGACCAGCAGGGGGTGCTCAACCTGCAGTCTGTGTGGATCCTGATGGCCTGTATAAATCGATGGGGACTTTTTACTGCTCAGTGAGTGCCAACTTTTAGATGAGATGTTAAACCGAGGTCCTGACTGGCCAAATTTGGCCTCTGTGCATCAAGGCCTCCTAACTATCCCTATATCATAATTGGTTTTATCACTCTGTCTCCTCTCTACTGATCATCTGGTGTGTGATTTGCGGTCTGGCATAATATTGTTTTTTATTTTATTTTAAGTGTTAAAGGAACCTTTTTATTGCAGCTTATGTCAATATCATGATAATATACCACATCTTGATAAAGGCTTCAGCAATTTTCACAACAGGAAAACCATCATATGTCTACATATTAATAATATGACAGCTTTGTAATGTCTTGTTTCGATAGTGTACAGTATATTCAAATTAAAAATAGTGTAAATTCACATATTATGTTTTACCAGATGTTGTATTGGAGAGCCACATTCCAGCAGTGCTGCTTCTGGGAGCATATGATGGACTGATGGTTGAAGAAATCTCTTTTCTTGTCTTATTATCTAATCAAAAATAAACACAAATTGTTATAATATTCTTTACTTGTTTTAAAGTCTTTAAAAAGCAGAGATCTTTAGTGACCAAAGATCTGTGAAAAATGCAATAACATTCATCAAAATCAATCACTGGAATAACAATAAAATAAATTGAGCAACAATTTAGCGATTGATCATATTAAACTGTTTCTTCAGTCATTATAGATGCACTGCCAGGGTTAAAATCATAATACCTCCTGATGTTTCAGTGGTCTGTGATTCTGGGGTTAAAAGGCCAGAAATAGTTGTTACCAAAGGGTCTGGTGGGGTTGTAGCAGGTGCTTTGAAACAGGATGTAAAATGTTCCTTTTTAAATGTTGAAACTCTCACATGAGCAGCGAATGTTAGAAAACTGCTGACTTTACACAGCGCTGATTGCATCTGTGATGACTGAATGATGACAGATCATGCCAAACTATTATCGTAATCACTAATAAAATTTATCTTTAGATTGTTTCCATCATTCAGGCGTAACAGATTGACAGAGACATTATGAAAGCACATATAAACACACTTAAGTACCCTCTGTCATGGCAGTGGTGTAAACTCCTGTGGTTTCATGCTCGGATGTGCTGCTTGACATGGATGTAGTTTCCAGGGTGGTTGGAATAATGGCTTTGAAGAAAGTGTATTTCAATGGAAATACGGAAATACAATGGTTGGACAATAGAAATGCTGGATTGTTTCAGCTGGGTTTAAATTATTTTCGTTATGTTTAACTTAGTGGTGGAGTTTTTCCGTTATTTACCCAAATTTGTGTTTAAACAGCTGAGCATTTTTAGAGTGTGGAATATGGATAGCACCCAATAACACAATAACATTTTTACATACAATTTTTGACCCAACTTTAACTCAAAGGCTTCGTCATATTTTACCCAAATTTGGGTTGAAACAACTAAGCATTTTTACAACATTTAAAACATTAGAGTCTGTAAGGTTTATTCTAATATGTAAACCATAATGTTGGGTCAAATATGGACAACTATGAATAGTGTGATTTAAATTAAATGTTTCAAAATTAACCCAATGTTCATTTTGTCAAGAATTGATACAATTTTGGGTTACAACAACCCAGCATATTTAGAATGTAAAGAAAAACTGTTATAATGCAGAAAAGTCTACTTTTATAATAACAGTATATTTTCATATGCTTTAAGCAAACATTACAGTCACATGATCAATTAAAAAAAGATGCTAAGTAATAGTGACATATATTTTTCATAACTGTCTATAGTTGATTAATATTATGATAATATATAGTAGTATATATAGCGTATAGTGCAGTGATAATTAATATAGTGAGATGTTGTTATTTATTCTTGCAGGAAAATTGCAGGCTATTTTTTATCTTAATGACTTCAATATAGACTGAACAAAGAAATATTTTAATAAGCTAGTAATTAGCAGACACTACGATTCACATTAAATATTTTTGTCATAGTTTATCAACACTTACCATCATCAACGATCAAATGGACGTAATACTTCTCATCATTAAACCATCCAGGCACGTGTACACGGCATCCATATTTTCCAGAGTCTGTTTTATCAATGTTAAAAATAGTCAGAGACACATCTCCATGCTGGATTGGTCCAGCCAGATCATATCTATCTGAATTCCTCGTCGACACTTTATCTCCATCACTTGCAATAATTTCTTCGCCACAGCCCCTACTGGGAATATCTCCTCTCATCCAGCATATCTCACATTTGCCATGATATCTGCTGTCATATTTACATGGCAAAGTCACATTGTCACCCTCGAAACTCTGTACAATAATGTCGCTGCATCTGCAAACTGAGAGACAGTAATTTAAATAACCTTGAATGTAGACATTTACAAACAAAATACCAATATAGCATTTTAGATATTAAAATTCATAATGATGTGATAAATAATAGCACTTATGTGTTACATTTGCAAACAAAATATATACTGTAATGTCATATATTATTACAGTGTAGATTTACATTGGCAGTGAAACAGTGATTCAAATAGGCATGATTTAGGATATTTGTTCATTCATTTTCCTTCTGCTTAGTACCTGATTTTTTCAGGAGTCATCACAGCAGAATGAACCACCAAATTTGGACAGTACAACAAATAATTACATTTAAAAACTAATATACAGTCGAAGTCAGAATTATTACCCCTCCAGAACAGGGGAGGATTTAGTCATTTTGGGGCCCTAAGCAATTCCAGCCGAAAGTTGTAAAATGGAACTTTTGTACTTACATTTTTTTATTATTATTAATTTGCTGCTTTTTTATATATAATTCTATCTCTTTTTCTGTATTTTATCCTTATACAAAACAATAATAATATATAAAGTACCTTGTTAAACTTTTGAAATGATTTGTTTTCTTAAGTTGAATTCACAACTAAACATAATAAATAAAACTATTTGGTTTTTAAAATTAAATCTTTACTTAAATACCAGCTAGACTGGTCCATGATGGAAGTAGAAGATTCAAATAAAAACAATTTTTAGACCCTCATACAAAATAGGATAGAAAACAATGTTATATATAATTTATAGGTTTCATTTATTTCTAGGCATTTATTTGGGGGCCCTCAGATTTCCTGGGGCCCTAAGTGGCCGCTTACCTTGCTTAATGGTTAAATCCACCGCTGCTCCTGAATTATTGAACCCCCTGTATTTTTTTTTTTTTTTTGTTTTGTTTTTTTTGTTTTTGTCTCTAATTTCTGTTGAACAGAAAGAGGGGGTTTTCAACACATTTCTAAACCTAATAGTTTGTTTTGTAGGCAATACAAAAAATATAGCTAAAAGGGGCTAATAATATTGACCTTATAATAGTTTAAAAAGTAAAAAAAGTTAAGAAAAAAAAGTGTTAAATAGTTTAAAAAATAGTTTAATATTGACCTTATAATAGTTTAAACTTATGATAGGTAAAAAATAAAATAAAATAAAAATACAACAAGGCATTCACCAGAAGAAAAAATATTATTGGAAATACTGAAATATTAAAATAAAAATTTGAGAGAAAGACTAATAAATTTGCTAACTTTTAGGTTATTCTATGTTTCATTACAGTGTAAATCCAAATTCTGCAAGACAAACGAAATACATTCAAACTACCCTTGAATTTACATATTAAAATCCATTAAGATATTTTTATTTATAGGAAATATAGCCCATTTAATGTTTCCAAATGAAATAAATCACTGTGTCATATTTTATATAAATCCACATTATTTTAGATATTGGCATGTAAATATATTATTTAGAATTGCAAAAAGTAAATAAACAAACTCTTCTTTTTTACTTTTCTTCTTCTTTTTTTTCTTTTTTTTAGGTTTCAGTAGCCTATATATATGTGAAACTCACTCGTCAGGCAGCAGAGAATCCATGATGAGAGGAACCAGCTGTGAAGATCAGTCATGATGAAAATGTGTCACTCTCTCTGCAAGCAATGCACAAGACTAACTCATGCTTCTTCTTACATTATTATTGCCCTTTACACGGAAGTGCACATGACGGCTTTGCTTAAATGTGCATTCAGAGTTCTTCTTCACAGTTTCACTTCCATGTGTGGCCTCTACAACTGTGTTCAACTTTAAAAAACCGAAAGTGAAATTTACTAGAGCCATCTACTTAAACAGAAAAAAAAAATCTCACGCTGATAAACATTGTATGAGAATATGAAATTGTTTTAATTCACATTTAAACATAATTGACACATTCATTTTTATATTTTAACGCATTGAACGCTAGAGGTCGCTATTGTACAACACTGTTTAAATAAACTCGCTTTTAACAAGCAGCTATTTTAAAAGTGATATATGTTTTTAGGCCTATAACTATAACGTTTTTAACGTGACATAAGCTCAGCTTATATCTAAAAAGAGACAAATATAACTAAGGGCCAGTATAAGTTTCTGACGGTATCATAGCCTTGAATAAATAGGCTTGCAACGGTTTCACTTATGGTATTGTGACCACTACTCTGAAATATGTTTTAAATGTCTGAGTAAAGAACACACACAAAAAAAATAATAATAATTTTAGGAAACATTTAAAATATTTTGGAGCAGTAAACATGTCTACATAATTAAAAGGATTTCTGCTCTCTTCATTTACAAAAAAACATTTTAAAAAAATGTATTCTTAGGATTGATATAACAGAAAAATGTTGCGGTTTTAAAACCTTGACTTTTCCAAACCGCGGTATACCTATCGTCCTATGCCTACATATAACCTTACAGTTAAAGAAGTGTATATTTACATAAAGGCCTGTTTAACATATTGTTTTGCATACTTTCATTAACTTATTTTCTTTTTGTCCCTTTTTTAATCTGGGGTCGCCACAGTGGAATGAACCGCCAACTTATCCAGCATTTGGTTAACACAGCGGATGCCCTTCCAGCAGCAACCCATCATTAGGTGTTGAGTTTGCATGTTCTCCCCGTGTTCGCGTGGGTTTCCTCCAGGTACTCCGGTTTCCCCCACAAGTCCAAAGACCTGGTATAGGTGAATTAGGTAAGCTAAATTGGCCGTAGTGTATATGCTGGATAAGTTGGCGGTTGATTGCGCTGTGGCAAACCCAGATTAATAAAGAACTAAGCCAAAAAGAAAATGAATGAATAAATGAATAATCAGTGATTAGCATAGGCCTATGACTAAAATTAAAATGCTGACAAGTAGATTGGCAATGAATTTTGGGCACACTTTGCTGTTATGTTGCAAATTAGTAATGGAATGCCAAACATCTTATGAACAAGCTAGCCCTGAGTCTAAGCCTATCCAAGCCTGCTGTCCTTAGGGATTTTCATTCTTTTCACATTTGAATGCAACAAGCTCGTATGCCTGACTTCATAGGTGAAGAGCTGAAAATTGAAGGCGTTATTGCTTTCTTCACATGCTACCAAAATTATTGCAAATGCAACTTTCCTAGTTGGAAATTGGACACAAATGGCCTTTTAAGTCAGATTTTCAACACGAAACTTGGATTTAATTTGATACACAGTTTCAGAAGATTAAATGCTGCTGTGACTGGTATTCTTCATTAGTTTTCCAACAGCTACACCATCTTGTCATGTAATGTCAGTAGTGCATATTTAAATATCCAATTAATCAAATTTTATGTTATCAGTGAATTTAAGATGTATTCTTGGGACATAATACGATTTAACTAAGAAATGATTGGGTTTTTCTTGCTTCCTGTTATTTCTAAGAAATAAACACTTGAATGTAATGAAGTCATACAGCGAGTGGGAAGCACAACATTTTTAAAACACGTACGCAGCAAATCTCCCCCCAAAATGTAACTATTACTATTTACCATCAAAAGGTTGAGAATGGCCTGCTCAAATCTGTCAATCACTAGTGTTTGACCAATAGTGAGAGTTTGGGGCGTGGCTTCTGAAACAGGTTGAGCCAGAGGGTGTTGATGACTACATCAAACTTGGTTCCAAGAGAGATTAGTTCCAGCTCTGCATCAACACACTTCTTAATAAGCCTAAAAAACTAAATTAGTTTGATCAGGTGTGTTTAATTGGGGATAATCAATCACTGTATCAACTGGTAAAATATTATAAGGAAAAAATAATCTTTAGAAAGGGTGTGGTGAATATAAAGAAAAGTTGAAAAGCTTGTTTTAAAATAAGTTTTATTTTTTTGTAATTCCACTAGGTGACACTAGTAGTGCAGAAACTACTTCATCTTTGAGCACAAAAAAATATTAAGTAATTGATTTCTGAGAAAAAGATGCGTGACACACAATTAGAGTTAAATTTTGGTAAGCTTTTTTCAGAATAACTTGGCAAATGAAGATGCATGCTACATATGTCATATTACAATAAAAAGTCTGAAAAACAACAACACAATATACAGTACATTATCTCAGATTTTGATTAATAATTGATTAATTATATATTAAAAATATCAGGCACTGAGAACTAACCCCAAAACAAAAGAGAGAGGAAAAGGTCCACGTCACCATGCTTGTGGTCTGTATAGAGTCATAGTGACATCAAACAAAGCATATCCATAGCAGATTTTTTACATTGTCCTGCTGATGGTCTGTTCTCTGTAGCGCCGCAGTCCTGAGGGCAGAGCGTTCGGATGGATGTGTTAATGCACAGTAAGCAAAACTGGCCATGAGTCACCTCTTTCACTTCCACTCAGCCATGAGAGCCAAATTTAACACTATGCAGCATGATAATCTGCGGAAGTTTCTACATAGTCGTATAGAATGACCAAGTGTTTCTTGGTCAAGCATTAAATGAAATGCTCAGTGCACTTTCACACTAAAGTACTGATGGGTTTAGAGCCTTATTTGGATGATTTAACCTGAAAAGGTCACATATTTCACCCTAAAATAAATACATTTATAATTTTTTACACACCCATAATAGTGACCAGGGTGACAAGTCCCTGTTTTCTAGGAAATTCTTGTAGTCTTGTCCCAAACTGTTTAAATTTAATTGAAATATACAAAATGAAAAGAGGAGCTTGCACTTTCTTCCATTCACATCATGTGGCATGATTTCATATTGTCTGATTTGCATTTATTCATTGTGTTCAATAAATAATATTTTATGGTAATGAAATTTGTTGCTAATTGTTTATGACAATAATATGGCAAAGATTTTTATAATAGAAATTATTTTCTTCTGTGCAATTATTAAAATGAAGCACATTTGTGTACTATAGATAGATAGACAGACAGACAGACAGACAGACAGACAGACAGACAGACAGATAGACAGATAGATAGATAGATAGATAGATAGATAGATAGATAGATAGATAGATAGATAGATAGATAGATAGATAGATAGATAGATAGATAGATAGATAGATAGATAGATAGATAGATAGATAGATAGATAGATAGATAGAATTTAACACAGGTGAACTCCAAATAAGCGGCTGAAACAACTCAAAAATGATGCCATAGTCACACTTGAGTTTGAGCAAGCAAAATTCTGTTATAAGGCGCTGCAAAAAGGGATTAAACAAGATCACGTGATTCGATTTCATAGGTCAGAGTTTACACTGCTTGAACTTTGTAATGCAGCGAACTGTGAAACTTGTTGCATGAGCTTGCGTTTTCGGTCTGACGCATTCACATGCGTATGAATGGAAGTCTATGAAGAGAAAAGTCCAGTGTGACCGCAGCTTGATCAGTGGAAACAGAATGTAAATGACCTCAATTTAGAGCTTCACGGCAAAGACTGTGATTACTTATGTACATGTGATTAGTCAGGTTTTTTTTTTTTTTTAATAATTTGCAGCAATTTCAAAAAAAAATTTTTTTCTCACATTGTCATGGTAGACATGACATGGTAGACATGGTTGTGTGTAGAATTTTAAGGAAATAAATGAATTAAATCTATTTTGGAAAAAGGCTGTAACAAAAAAATTTGGAAAAAGTGAAATGCTATGAATACTTTCCGGATGAACTGTATATAGATAGATAGAAATATGTTTTTCTATAATATACCAATAAGTAAATTTAAAATAAAATGTAAATTTAAAAAATAGATATTTATCTAAAATATTGACTATAAAAACCATGTTAAACACCAATCAATTTATAAATAAACATAACACAAAAGTGATGTCTTTCCTAATCTTCTTATCTAGCTCTTAACAGCTTTTGATGACATTTATGCTTTGTATTTCATATTTCCAGAGTTAAATTAGATCAATTGCTTGTTAAGGAACTTACTGAGGAAAAGTGCGATGATCAATCCCGGGATGAAGATAATGGCCCCCACTCTTACAGTAGTTATGATGAATGTTTCCATTGTTTCCTAGAACAACACACGACATATTCAATGCTTGCATGCAGAACTTATACATGTCTAATACATGTGAATGGAAACATATAAAATCAGTATGCTTGTCACTTTTCATACATGCATTACCAAAAAGCATTCAATGCAGAAAACAACTTGGCAGCAACTGCAGAACTGCTAATGAATCTCTATTTGAAAAATGACGATACTGTACAATGCAATACAATGTGTTACAACACAACACAAAACTATACAGTACAATACAATACAGTAACGTTTAATGTAATTTAATTTAATTAGAGCAGTACCTCAGTATGAGCCACTGCTTTGACTTCACCCATGCGGACATCATCTGAAATAAAGCAATAAGTTTATTCTTGTCAGATGTTGACTCTTATTTCTTAACCTCCCTCAGTGTTGATTTAATGTAGTCAGGATGACAATAATCATACCTGTGGTCATCTTTTCTGATATGAGATAAAGCTCAGTAATCAGTGTGGTGGAGTCTGACACAAGGTGGACTGTGTGTAAAACCAAACATTGTTAATCAGGGTTATTTTATCTCATGCATTTAAAACAGTCAGACCAGACCAGTTTGATTCAGCTCTTATGTTAGTATTGATTATTCATATTATAAATTAAGGTTGACTCAAAGATGATGAATAGATACAATATAAAGTGCTTAATAAAGTATGTCAAAAAACATACATTAACACAGACCAGACTGGATAATTATCTGAGAGAACTAAATATACAAGAAATGGCTGTATTCAAAATTGCCCCCTAAACCCTCATGTACTATTCTGTACATTAGTCCACTAATATAGTCCACTTAAAGGAGTAAATTTGATAGTTATTTAACACAGC